CATGTAGTGGTTGAGAAGGACTTTTGGCTTGAGACGAATTTTGATCAGGTTGGAGATAACTTCCATGTCCTCTGAGCTGTGGGTGTTGCAGTTCATACAGACTGACATCAGCAAGTCCTGAGCTGGCTTGGTCAACTGTAGAGGAAGAGCAGAACAATTACAGCCACTTGCCATCACAGATCCCAAATGTAACTGGTGCATAGTATGCAGCCCTCCTGGCTGGATTCCAGACCAGGTCCAGAAGAGTCATGCTTCAACAGCTTCTTATCCTTACCTTTGGATTTTGCAGCCACATCTCCAGCCTCTGCACAGCCATCTGCCGCACTTCTTTGTAGCCACAGGTTGCTGTCAGCAGTCGAAGGAGGTTCCTGGAGACATTGTCCATTGGCTGGCGCCGGTTGAGTTGGTCCCGCAGCATGTCTAGGACATATTCCTCCACACTCTCTGCAAGGTCTTCATACCTGGGCCACACAAACTGTGTTTTACACACTTCCACATGATCCAGGGTGGTCACACTTTGCTGTGCCCAGAGATCAGCATCCCTCCTTGTTTGAGGTATGCATTACAAACAAACAATATATACTCTTTTCATCTGGAACCAATTTTATCTGATGCTCAGCACCATCTAGTGAGTACCACTCCCTGCCGCAGCATTGCAGGAGTGGGTGAGCAGACAGATCTGCCACATGGCTACCTTAAGAGAGGAAGAGGCACTGTACCTGGGCATGAGCTGGCCCTCCTGCTCTGGGCTCATTTTCTCCTCTGCAATCAGCAGCTCGCTCTGGCTGTCTTCTTCCTCCGTCATGGAAGGGTGTGGACTACTCCCTAAGAGAGACCAGCACACAGCATGCTTCATGAGACAACTCCTCTTTCCAGACATCACTCATTCATGCTCCTATATCATAGAACAGTTTGGGTTGGAAGGGACCTTAAAGACCATCTAGTTCCATCCCCCTTGCCACAGGCAGGGACACCTTCCCCCAGCCCAGGGTGCTCCCAGCCCCATCCAACCTGGCCTTGAACCCTTACAGGGAGGGGGCAGCCACAGCTGCTCTGGGCACCCTGGGCCAGCACCTCACCATCCTCACAGGGAAGAATTTCTTCCTAATATCTTAATCTAAATCTACCTTCTTTCAGTTTAAAACCATTACCCCATATTCTATCCCCACACCCCTGATAAAGAGTCCCTTCCCACCTTTCCTGTAGCCCCCTTTCAGTACTGGGAGGCCACTCTAAGGTCTCCCCAGAGCCTTCTCTTCTCCAGGCTGAACACCCCCAACTCTCTCAGCCTGGCCTCATGGGGGAGGTGCTCCAGCCTCCTGATCATCTTCATGGCCTCCTCAGGACCCACTCAAGCAGGTCCATGTCCTTCTTATGTTGGGGTTCCAGAGCTGAACTCAATACTCTAGGTGAAGTCTTGTGAGAGCAGAGTAGAGGGGGAGAATCACCTCCCTTGACCTGCTGGTCACACTTCTCTTGGTGTAGTCCAGGATATGGTTCAGCTTCTTTCAAGGATCCCCTTCAGCAACACTGAACAAGGCCACAACTAATTGCTTCCTCACACTGTATCACACACAGGCACATTCTCCAAGTCTCTTTCACTGCCTGCCCTCAAATATCTCCTAGAAATGGAAGAACCCCAAACAGAGGAAAACCAACAATGCCTGGAACTCAAAGTCTGGCCTATGTGACTCCATCCAGCAACAAACTATTCCCACCAGTCAATAAGCTCGCCAGGCTCCATCCTCTCCCCACCCCTTTGTTCCCGCTTCCCAAACATCCCCTTACCAGCACTAAGGTCCCCTCCACTACGTCCAACTTCTCCATGCAAAAGCATGCTCTTAGGAGGCATCTTTGTGTTAAAAGCCGTTTGGATGTTATCCACAAATGTCTTGCAGTGAGGGCTGTCTACCCAGATGCGCTCCCCGAGGGAGTCCTCAATGTAAACCTGCAGAAGAGAACACAAACCATGCTCAAGCTTTTTATTGTACTGGTTAATCAAAGAAGTATTTGTGAGGTTCCCCAGTTTCTATTTATTTTCAATATACAACTGCAAAGTAGGAAACTGGCATAACCATTGCATGGATGAAAAAAAGACCAGATGACTGCTGGGAGTTACATAAGAGCAAAAAACCAAACCATCACATCCCAAACTCTACTGGGCACTGACTCTCTCGAGCAACAAAGCTGACTAAACTTTAGCAAAGATTTTGCAACAACTCCTACCACCAAAATATAGAAGCTGGTCTTTTAAAAGCTTAGCCTTTTTAAATTAATGGGCTGTTTTAATCCCTACAAACTAGAAAGTAAGAAGTCTCTGTGACTTCACTGTGACATCAATACAGATCATCAGAGGCATCTCAGAAAAGAGCAGAGTTAAGGCAACAAACAGCAAAGGAGGCCACAGCACTTCAACAACCAGAGGAGATTTTTCTTTAAAGGAAACAATAATAAAAAAGGACCCTGGTTTTCTGCCTTGTCAATACAGCACGGGCCAGTCTTGAACTTCTGCCCCCTCCAGTTGCATTCCCCACACTGGGCAACAGGCCACAGGACACCCCCTTGCCCTGCAGCACAAATAAATCCTCTGCAGCTATCCTAACCCAACATAGCCACATCTCCCAAAGCTGGCCGGTTATACCCAGTCTGCCAACCACTGCCTCAGTCCCGCAGAACCACCCTTGGATCAACAACCTTGACAAAGATCTCCGGCCAGTTCTCATCCTCTTCGTAAGCTGCCATGAGAAGGTTGCAGGCCAAGACAGACACGAGGCTATTCCCTTTGGCTTTGAAATTGATGGAGGCATCTCTTCGGAGTAGGCTACACAGTGCCTGGAATATCATCCACAAAAAATAAAACAATAATCAAGCCATCTAACAAGGAGGCATACAAAAAAGCTTTAGAAAAAATAAATATAAATTGCAGTAGCATGCCACAGAGTTATGGTATTTATAAAGACATGCAGATTATGCTCTGGCCTGGGAGAAACTGCAATTACGCTCTCAAGTTGGAAGCAACTGTGTGTCAGTAAGGCCCGGAGTCCTAACACAGCACAGCCCTCACCTCGATAACCCCTTCGGTGGCAAATATGTTTGGTTTGATTTTTGCCAGGTACATGAGGCTTAGGTACAGCGTGGTATCAGGTTTGGCTCTGTTCATTTTCAGCTGCTTCACAGCTCCACACAGCACACCCTCAATACGGTCGTCATTGCCTTCTGCCTCTGCTGCCTCAATTTCATCCAGCAGCACCGTGGGGACAACTGCAATCATCAGCAGACAGGAATCAGTGTTTATCCTCACACAAAATAACCTGCCCTGACATGCTGGCAGGGTCAGTCACCAGGAAGGCAAAGCATGGACCAACTCACCTTTAGCCCCTGCAATAGGTTTTCCCTACCCGATTGCTATTAAAAGTTCAGTTTTGCACCCTGCAATACCCCTTGATTATTTTTTGGTTGGTTTGTGCTTGAATGCTCTTCTGCAAACGCTTCAAACACCGGAAGACAGAATGAAAGTTCAAAAAGCAAGCAACATTCAGACCCAGAGTCTGCTGAAGAAGTACATGAGTAAAATGCCACAATCCAGACTGAAAGATTTCCTCAGGGTGTCTTTCAGGCGCTGCTGTTAAACAGCTATCGGGATGAACTCAACCCACTGCCAACAGGAGAGCCGACAAACCCGTGACTTCAGCCCTATATCCAGCAAAGCAAACCCTCGGGTACTGCACACAAACGGCGGCATGCAGGCTTCCAGAAAGGCTCCTGCTCTGAAGCTCTGGGGAAAAACGAGCTCGAGTTCTCACCCTCGGGGCCTCACCTTCAATCGGGATGACAGACGGCTCCTTGATGGAGGGGGAAATGGCTCTCTTCTCCGCCACGGCCGCCTCTGCCAGGCGTCCCAGGGCGCTGAGGGGCGGTGTGGAGGAGAGCTTGGGGCGCTTGGTCAGGCCGGTCAGCCCCGCCGGGCCCGCCAAGGCGGCGGCCGCGTCCCGCTTGCGCTCAGAGGGCAGCCCGGGGGGGGCTGGCTTCAGCAGGGTGACGGCGGTTTTCCCCTCGCCGCTCTGCCCCTTGGAGCCCAGCGCGATGAAGTCTCCCGGCGGCGGGTGCGCTTTAAGGGAACAGGGCCAGAAGTGACAGCACCCGAGCGGAACGCCCCCGACCCAGCCCCCCTCCCCGGGCGAGGCGGCCGCAGCCCGTCAGGACTCACCGGAGGGCTTAGGCACGGCGCTGGGCCGCCGCACAGCCGCCGCCTTCGGCCGGTTCATGATGCCACCAAGCCCCGGGCCCCGCTCTCGGGCCGCCGCCGCTGTCACCCGGAAGCGGAAGTTTTCCCCCTCCCCACCACCGAGGCGGAAGCGAGACGCGCTGCTGCTGCGCCTAACTCCCCGCCCCGCTGGACAGCGCCGCCTGGTGGCGGGAGGGCGCGCGGCGGAAGGTGGCGACTCCCCCTCCCCTCCCTTCCCCAACGAAGTGGAGGGAGAACTGCACCCCGGGTGGTGTGGGGGGTATGGGGTTTTGGGAGGGGGGATTAGGGGGAGTCTGAGAGGGACTGGGATTGGGGGGCTGTTTGGTGGTACTGGGATTGGGGGCGGAGGGGGGTGTCTGGGATTAGAGGGGGGCTGGAATGGTGGGGGATTTAGGGGTAGAAACTGGGGGTAGGATTGGGGAGCAGAGATTAGGGTCTGAAATTGGGGGGGGCTGGGATGTGGGGCTGGGATCGGGGGGGCTTGGATTGGGGGTGAACTTGAGCAGCTGAGATTGGGGGGATGGAATCGGGGGGGCCTTGGATTGGGGCTGAAATTGAGCAGCTAAAATTGGGGTGATGGAATCAGGGAGGGGTCTTGGATTGGGGCTGAAATTGAGCAGCTGAGATTGGGGGGATGGAAGAGGGAGGACTGAGATCAAGGACTGAAATTAGGTGGCCCCGCAGCAACCAGCCACCCCCCAACCCCTCAGGCCCCCCATGCCACCACCCCTGTCCCCATGTCACACCCCCAGGACAAGCTCTCCATGTGCCTTTATTGCATCAGGGACTGCGGGACTGCACCTCAACCCACACCACCCACCCGGGACCAGGTGGGGGGCACCTGGCAGCCAAGCCCACCCCCTGCACCTCCATCCGCAGCTGTGCTGGAGGGGGGCCACATGGCAGGAGGTGACAGTCCCCATCGCTTCCTCTGTGCTGACATCCCGGCTTCAAGGGCTGGAGCATTGAGCATCTTCTAGATGGGTGGTCCTGGCGAGGTGGAGGTGACACCGCGTCCCCCCACTCACAACCACTGCAGGGAAAAGCCCTGGCTGAGGCTGAGGCCAAGGTCACTCACGGTGAGAACCTGTGGGACGAGAGAAGACATTGTGGGGTACAGCCTCAGTTGGGGGGATGCAGAGCATCGTTTTCCCTACCCAGCTTAGCTGAGCTCCCCTCTCCCTGGACCCTGACATGAAGGGAGAGCCACACTGGAGTCCTCAGCCCCCCTCCTCGACCACCAACCCTGTGACAAGGGGTGGGGGAGGAGGGATAGAAGCCCCCAGGACAGGGCACCCCAAAATGGGGCTGTACCTGGTTGTCCAGGTAGGAGAAGGGCTTCGCTTGTCCATTCAGGAGGACCCTGCTGGGTGGCTGCCACACCCCAAAGATGCTCAGTGTGCCAATGGTGACCTCAGTGGCCTCAGTGCTGGTGTGTAGGACAGTGGAGGTGAAGATGTTCTGCAGGAAGGGACAACATGAGCTCAATGTGGCCAGGTGCCACAGGACCCCCTGCCCCTGCCCTCCCCATCACGTCCCACCTGTGTGACGTTGAATACCACGTAGGAGTAGCTTCCCCGCTTGAATGTGTCCAAGCTCTCGCCATCATCCCAGAAGAGGTCCCCCCAGGTGGTGGCACTCTGGGACAAGGCCACAATGAGGCGCAGGGGATTCCTTCGGGTTGCCTCACTGGTGGTCCCTGGTTTCTGGGGTTGAAAGACATGGGTGCTGTAGGGTTGTGGGTACCCAGGATGGAGGTCCAGGAGCTGAGGTGCTGGTGGGGACACACACACTGTGGACAGACCCCAGGAAGGCGATGGGTGGGTGCTCACCTGCGTGGGAAGGATGGTGCCCTCCCGGACATGCAGGTTGATGTGCTCCAGGGGGGCTGACATCTTCAGCATCTCCCCGCTGCTGTTCACTGAGTAGCCCTGAGTGGGAGGCGAGAGACAAGGGTGTAAAGTGGTCAGGGACACGGTAGGGGGGCTTGGGCACAGGTCAGGGCAGCTGCCATCCCCATCCCTTCCTCCACTGGGGCTTGCTGGGCTCAGCCATGATTTCCCACCCGCAGCCCCAAGATGGCTGAGCAGGGACCATCCGACCCCCCAGCAAAGCACTGCGGTGCTCCTCACCGTGTAGAAGTCATACCACACGCCCCGGGGGACATAGCCTGTGACTGAATCCACCCCGGGCTCCAGAACGGGTGTCACCAGCAGGCTCCGGCCCCACAGGAACTGCCTGTCCAGCCCCAAGGTGGCCACGTCCTGGGGGAACCTGCAGTGGGATGGAGACGCCGCTCAAATCGGCCACTTCATGATCCAGGCTAAGCATCTCCCCCGCCCCCGGCAGGGATGCTCTTACTCAAAGAACAAGGGCCGGGCAACGGTGTCCCCTTGCAGGTGTGCATGGTGGAAAAGGGTGTAGAGGAAGGGCAGGAGGGAGTAGCGGATCAGCAGCACGTTCTTCATGGCTGTCCTAGCTGCAGGGCTGAACACCGTTGGGTCCTGGGCCTGGGGGAGATGTGGGGAGTCAGCAGCTGCCTCATTCCCAACCCCAACCAGGCATTCCCACCACCCCTGACCTCCTGCATCCCCTGTCCCACTTCCCCCCCATCCCACATTCTCCATACCCCATCCCACATCCCCCATTCCGCAACCCACATCCCTCATCCTGCATCCTATACCCTGCATCCCACCCCTGGGGTGCCTCCCACCAGGAACGCTGCCCTCGACCTTCTCATTCTGGGTGTTGTGGTTGCGAGCGAAGGGGTAGAAGGCACCGAGCTGCATCCAGCGAGTGCACAGCTCCTCCGAGGTGCTGCCAGAGAAGCCACAGATGTCCGCCCCAACCAGCGGGATGCTGAAGAGGCTGAAGCTCAGCAGCCCTGAGGGCAGGGATGGTCAGCAGGGTGCAGAGAGTTTCGGAGATGTCTCCAAATAAGCATAAAGCTCAGTGGAGCTGGGGGTGCTGGTGGGGGGGGTGTCTGCATGCAGCTCATGCCACCCACCTGGGATGGAGTAATACATGTCCTTCCACTGGCTTCGGTTGTCACCCAACCAGTGCCCTGAGTACCGGCCCTGGCTGGGAAAGGTGGAGCGGGAGATGATGAAGGGGCGCTGCCTCCGGATCTGGATCAAGGCACTGGAAAACAACCCAGGGAGCCGGAGGCAGGAGGTGAGAGCAGCCCCCCCAGGAGTTCACCTTATCCCACAGTGGTGGAGGGAGAGGTCCAGCCCCATGGCAGCTCTGCGATGCTGGAGAGTCAACCCGAGTGGTACAGTGAAGGCTCAGCACCAGGACCAGCCTCACCCACCCATCCCTCTCAGAGCGGTGTCAGCTCCCCTCCTCTGCTGAGTTATTCCCATCTAGGGGCTGTGAGTAGCCAAGAGCATCTCCCCTTTGGGTCAGGCCCTCAAATCCCTGTCCTTTCCTCACACAGCCCTGAGCAGCAGAATTTTGTCCCATCCCATCCCCAGACTGGCGGGAAGCGGGATGCTTGGGTACCTCGCTGTGGCTTTGGCTTCCATCAGCCCGTAGAGGTTGTGGAGGTTGTAGTGCACCGAGGCTTTCTGCTTCGCCGAGGCACACACCGTCTTTGCAAAGAGGGAATCGCCCAGCACGGCTGCCAGGAGGGAGAGCTCCCGTTGGCACAGAGTGGTGATGGGGGTGTTCGGGGGACACGGACCCCCACCCACACACGCTTTCTGGCTACAGGGGCCAGCCACCACTGCCAACCCAGCGCTGAAAGCTCCTGCAGATGGTCTCATCTTGCACCCTGATGTGGCCCCAACAAGAGTGCAAGGCTTGGGCACGGATACCAGCACACGTCAAGCTGGGATGGAGACATTCATGGTGTACAACAGAGACATGATGTCTCTTAAAAATGCTTTTGCCCCATCACACTCAGTTGCCAGTGATCTCAAATCACACGGTAACTACCAGCACAGCCTTGCATTTCATCTCCCTCCTTACCTGGTGTGTAGGGTGGGCTGTCGAGCTCTCCCGGGGGGCAGCCAACTTCAGACCCATCCATGAAATTGGATGGTTCATTCATGTCCTAAGCAAAGGAAATTGTGGAGCAATTTCATGGAGAAATTTTTGGGGATTAGTGAATAGACCCAGAAAAGCTCATCTGAGGGACAGACGGTCCTGCCAAGACACACAACAGGCATGAGCTGAGCTGCTGGCAGGGAGTGACCCGGGGGCAAGGAGAGACTTACGATCCAGAGGCCATCAAAGGGCACATGGGCATGGAAGTGCTGCAGGTTCTCCAGCCACCACTGGTGCGTGTCTGGGTTGGAGAAGTCTGCAAAGGCAGTGAAGCCAGGCCATACCTGTGGGGACACCACAAAGACACAGGCTCAGCAAGCAGGTGATTTGTAGGGGGCTGCCACAGGGAACGGGGTGCCACAGGGTTGTGAGCATGCTGAGGGACCAGGGGTGAAACAGGCAATGAACCAAAAGATAAACCCAGGCCAACTGCTTTGAGTCCTGGATGCTGCATGCACAGCATCCCTCCTGCTGCCGTGGTACCCGGGAGCATCGGGGTGCTGAGGACTCCCCCACAGCCCGGTGGGCAGTGGCAGCTGATGGAGTGGCTGCTCTGCATCTTCTTGCACAAGCCCTGACACCACCTAGCCCAGGGCATGTCAGGGAAGAGCCTTGATTTCTCCATGCTTTGCCTCACTCCAGGTATTTTAGCCGATTCATTTTTCCCCATGTTTTCAGGCTATACCAAAAGCCCCCTCCTCGCAGATGGCCAGGGAGAGCCAGTGAGAGCAAATGGCCAGGGAGGACAAACTGGGAGGGAACCACTGCAAAGCAGATCTGGAGCCATGTGTCCATTGCAGACAACCTCCCCTCACCCCAGAAATGGGAAGGGAGAGAAATCAGATGACTGGCCTTGGGCAGGACTGTCGAGTTCGTTTAGCTCATATGACTTCCACGGGCCCCTCCGCTGGGGCAGGGGCTGGCTCCCAGGGTCAGTGGACATGCCAGGAGGTGACACATGAGGCCAAGGGCTTAGCCAAGCTCTGGCAACCAACCCAGAGAGGTCCCTTTGCTGCTTGGCTTTCCCTCCAGTGCGAGGGATGAAATCCCAACCCTGCTATTGCACAACCCCACGGGGCTGCGATTTCCCCCCCCCGCCCCCAAGCTCCTCACCTGCCCGATGAGCGGCTGCCCTTGGGTGGTGTTGAGGAACAAGCCCCGTCTCAGGGCTTCATCGAAAGGCCAGTAGGAGCCATGAGGGTTGGTGCTGCTGATGCCGGGATCCTGGGGACGGAGCAGAGGGATAGTGCCATTCCCAGCAGACTGCGGCCCCTTCCCCCTGTCAGACCAGCGTGATTCAGAGAAGAAGACAACCCAGACGGGGTCAGCCAGAGCCCATAAGTGGCGGCTGTTTCCCCCAAGGGGAACAGAAACTTGCTTCAACACTTCCAGATATGTTTTCTAAAATGCCACTTCTGCAAGTCCCCAGGACCCGTTAGGGCATTTTGGGGAGGACAAATACGAGAAATCTTGCGCTTATGCAAGAAATGTCAGGTCACAGATGGGCTTGGGCTACAATGGGATGTTCAACAGGGAGGGAACCCGACCTTTCCTTCCCTAGGACCCCCTGGTCCCCACCTCTCCCAGCAAGCAGAACCCACACCCCTTTTCTTTGCAGGGGGAAGAAGGGAGCTCACAGATGGGTCACGAGATCCCAATCCTCGTGGGGACGTGGGGGCACCCGAGCTGAGCACCTGCAAGTTAACCAGCCTGACCCACAGTTCCACCATTCTTTCACCCACAGGGGACAGGGGCATCTCTGTACTGCAGCAGACAGGAGCACAGCACAAGAACCTGGCCTGTGTTTCCACAGTCCCTGCATTAGGGTTATTTCCAGTGGCTGCCTGCCCAGCACTGAGGACCAGCCTCGGCTAAAAGTCCCCAGGGCTGGGGACGATCAGCTGGGACCATGAGCTTCCCTTACACCTCTGTCTTACATCCTGGCTCTGCAGCAAAGTCTGCACAGGGGGAGAGGAGGTTGAATACCAAGATCATAACGTAGCGCTGCCCGTGTTTGTGGAGGTCTTCTACCAGTGAAGGGAGGGAGGCAAATTTCTGGGGATCAAAGGTGAAGTCCCGGTACCCATCCATATAATCGATGTCATTCCACTGCGCATCCTGCGGGACAGAGGCTCAGGGATGGGTGACGGAGCCCGGACACCCCTTCCACAGGTCTTAGGGGTTACCTGGGGGATCTGGTAGTTCCTCATTGCTCTCACAGTCTGCCAGGTCTCATTGCTGGATCCGTAGCCCCAGCGGCAGAGGTGGAAGCCGAGCGCCCAGAGGGGTGGCATGGCTGGGAAACCTGCAGAGGGAGAGCAGGGACATGGGTGGGGTATCCTGGGACAACAGCGGCTTCTCAAAAGAATGGGAAGGGGAGGGGAGGAAAAGGAGGTGATTGCTGACCCCTGATGTGCTGGGAGGTCTGGGGACAGTGGTGAAGCTGGGGTGAGACAGGGATGGGAGCATGGGGAAGGTGCCCACAGATGGCCACGTTGGGGTACAGACACTTACCTATCACCTGCTGGTACTGCTGGATGACCATGTTGGGATCAGGCCCCAGGAAGATGTAAAAATCCAGAACCCCCCCGATGGTCCTCCAGGTCAGGCCCGGAGCAGGCTGCAGGGCCACCTCTTTTGGGGGCAGAGGGAAAAGAAAAAGACAGTGACAACTGGGGAACAACCCCCTGATCCTGACCCTCACACCAGGGACCAGGCAGCACCTCAGGCAATGCTCAGCCTCCAGCATGGGAATAGAGAAATCCCTGCCTTGCACTTGGTGGATGCTAAGTAGGTGTCTGGAGGCTTAAATCAACACAGCCCAGGGAGATTGCTGGTTTACAAGAGGAGAGAGCTTGCTATCTTAAAAATTTGGTCTTTAAGCCCCAAGCTGCACCGTTCTCCCAGCTTCCACTTAAAGACCAAGCACATGCCAGGCTTTCTTTCATGTCCTCCCCCAAAATCTTCTACATGAATCAAGAGCTACTTGTACAAATGATCATGTGGGAGCAGGGGCTTTCCTGGGAAGGGCTTTTCATGCAAATGAGCCCTCGAACCTCAGCTCAGGTGGTTGCATCTCCTGTGAGCTCCTCCTTGGGAGCATCGCTGCAATAAAGCCAAGTGCAGCAGAGCCCCGGCATGTGCAGCATCATCCCAGCTGGCTGCAAGTGGCCACTGCTGAGAGGGACGGGTGGTCGCCGGTGCCATCCCTGACATGGCAGGAGCCCGCAGGAGCTGCTGTGTTCTCAGCTGGCACACACGGGCGGATCCCATGGCCGCAGCCAGCACAGCTCAACTGGGAAGAGCGCGGGTGGCAGATGGCATCCCCGGCTGCGCCCCAGCCATGCCACGCCGCTGGGCCTGGGGGCAAGGCTGTTTTGGGTGGAGGGGGAATGGGCACAGACCCGCACGCAAGGGACTTGCTTTTCCAACAGCAACTTGGCAGCTGGGCATGTGGTTAAACTGCTCGGCAGTTGCTAAAGAGCCTCGCTGTAGCCAGGAAACAGATGGCTACGCTCAATAACGGAGCCATCAAACCACATCTTTCCCTTTTACGGCTTCCTCTCGCCCCAAGTTCCCGAACCGGCTGTTCTGGCAGATCCCATCTGTCCCCACCTGCCAGGTCCTCCTCCAGGGACAAGCTGGCCCAGGGTCCCCCAGGACACCTACCCATCGCATTGCTGTTGAGGAGGAAAACCCCATGAGCATCTCCACCCTCCTCCATCATCAGGTAGAAGGGGTGAGCACCATAGAGGTTGAAAGATTCCTGCAAATATAAGGTGCCGGGTGAGAGAGCAGCTCCGGGCAAAGCTGGAGAGCCTCACTTCAATGGGGGCAAATAAATGGCCCCGAGTTGCATCTGCTGCCAACACCCAACCAGGCATCTGTCACCCTCCATGGAGGACAAGGTGAGGGATGAGGATGGTTTAGAAGCTGGTGCTGAAGGCCACAGGAGGCTCCTTCTTTGCAGCTCAGGGGGCTGGGTTGGGCGAGGGGAAACCTGCCTTGCCACAACCTGTTGCAGGAGCAGCAGGGTGGAGCTGAAAACACCCAGGGCCCTTGAAGTGCCAAAAGTGTTTTGCAATTGCTCTGAAATCCTCCTCGGCACATATCTGCCCGTCAGCCTTGACCACCCCTTGCCTCTCCCAGTGCTGCTGCCCGCCCCCCCGTCATGTTTTCACAGAGTTTGTCCAATGCACTGGAGAGCGGTAGCCCCATCCTCGCTCCCTCCAACCCCGTGGGGAGGGGGAGATGGTACCGTGGGAGAGACGTCCCGGGCCCACAGCGTGAGGGTGTTCCAGTCCAGGCTGTGCAGGAGGGTGCTGCGGTGCTCCCCCAGCCCGTAGAGAAACCTGGACGGGAGCGATGTGGATATTTGGAGAAACTGGTCAGCGAAGATTAAGGGGGCCACAGTGGTGTTGAGCCTGCCAAGGTGACACCGAGGGAGAGAGAGGGTCAAAAGGCGATGCTGGGATCCACTAGAATCCATCTGCCCATCAGCAATTTACCCCTTCCCTCTCAAAGCATCCCAAGGGCCAGCACAGCAGTATACGTCCCACCCTGCATCCAGCCCCAACACTTTGGCCCAGGTGGAAAATTTAGGTCTGGCTGGATGCAAGGCACAGCCTGAGCCTGAAGCAGCCTGAGCCAGCGCAGCACAGCCTTTCCTTTGACACCAGAAGTTTCCACACAGGTTATTATTAACCACCGAGGCGATACGCTGGTGGGGTTTCTCAGCCTGTTGTTGCTGATAAGTAGCTCTCAAGTAAATGACAGATCACAGGCACCGGCATTCGGGAAGGAGAAGGAAATGATGGGATCCTAAAACACCCTGGCCATACATTGATCAGCCGTTGGTGCTCACCAACAGCTTAGTGTGTGCAAAGCCATGGAGGTGACTGAAAGCAGCACGGTAAAACCACCCGCAGTCCTTTTCCACAAAAAGCCTGGAGCTGTGGGTGCCCCAAATAGCTTGGACAGCCGGGGAAACCCAAAAGCAGGGTGAAACAGGCAAAGCCACAACGCTTCAGTGGCCGTTTCCCTGAGCCACCAGGTCCCTTATTGGTGACATGCTGGGGACCTGCACAGTGTTTGGCTACTGTAGGACCTGGTGAAGAATTAGGGCGCTGGGAGGTTTTTGGAGAGGTGCTGATCCCACCCAGCCCTGCCATGGCCACAGAAAGTACATATTCTGCCCATGAGGCTGGGAAGCCATGTGCTGCCACATCCTCATGTGAGCACTGCTGGGAAGATGAAGAGTAATTATTGTCTGGAGATCCCACAGCATGGTTTTCCCTAAGGAAAACTCCCCAGAAAGCATGCTGGAGCCTGCCTAGGGTGGGATGATCTTTCCCCCAACCCGCTGTGGGATGAGGAGGAGATGTGTTCTTACAGCACTGCCCCTGTCGCCCTGCGCCGCAGCAGTACCCCAAAGGGGTCCCGGGAGAAGTCCAGGCTGTAGATGGGGTTTTCTGCTCTCTTCGTTGCCTGGGGAACTTCAAGGGGAACCTCGTAGCGTGGGTTGGCCACATCAGTTATCTGTGAAAGGGAGAAAACACGCTTTAAAGACCAGCAAAGCAAGAGACCAAAGGGTTGGAGATGCTCCTTGGCCACATACAGGCATGCCTGGAGCACAGTAGCTTCCAGACTTGGTCTGAGCAGGGGACGGTCACCTATGGGATGGAGGGTGCAGAAGTGAAGTCACAAGCCCTGGAGGGCAGTCAGTGGGAAGCTCACCTTGATGTGTAGCCGCGTGTCAGTCTCAAATTTCACATCCAGCCTTAGCTTCATGATGTCCTGGGGGTAATAGGCCTTCTCCCTCCGCACCAGCAACCCCACCATGCCCAGCGCTGTCTGGTTGAGGCTCTCCAGGGTGTAGCTGGGGAAATCAGGGGGGTAGAAGCACCAGGGCACCCCCCGTTTGCCCGCTGCCGGCGAGGGCCTCTCGATGAAGCAGCACCCCCGGTTTTCGCAGAGCTCTCGGGTCACCACCACGTGCCGCTCGGGGTAGCAATCAAAGCGGTGGCTTTCAGGTACCAGGAGACATTTGGGGGGTGGCATGGGTCCAGGCCAGCTCCCCGATACTTGCCGCAGCACCCAGACGGTGACAGCACTCAGCAGCACAGCGGCCACCAGCAGCCCGCTGCCCACCCACCACGGGGCCAGCTTCCCGCGGCCGGTGGGCATCGGGGTGGCCCCTTCCTCTTCCACCTGGCATGCCGCCGGCTGTGGCACTGCTGTCGTCAGCTTCTGGTATGACTTCATTGTCCTGGTGCTGGAGTGGGGGGAGATGGAGGCAGGTGTGAAGGAGTTGGAGGGGAGAGAACTGGCTCAAGACTTGCGGATGGTTTCCCCACTCCCGGTGCCCATGGGTCAGGCAGAGCCTGCCCACCTTGGCACCCTGCACCATGATGTCCATGCCCTCGGCTAAAATGCACGCAGCAAACTTGGCAAAGGATGGCTTTGCCAGGGTCGGGTGGTCCTGACCCTGCAGGAATGAGGGGAGACACTGCCACAGGACTCTCCACAAGCCCCAAGGGACAAAGCACCTGAGCCCCACCTGCTCTCATGGAGGTGGCAGAGTGGCCTCTGAGGGAATTTTTCCCAGGTTTGAATTTATGGGCTGCAGTGTTTCTGGAAGCTGCAAGCAAAACCGAGCTCCCTCTGTCCATGGGAAGAGAGCTGTGGTGCTGGGAGCTGCGACTCAGGTGCAGAGCATCCTCTGCTCTGAGCATCCTCTGCCATTGCCCAAAGCCCTGAGTCAGAGGTTTTAGTCCCAGGGAGGGCTGGGCAAGGGATGGCAGGGAATATGCTGTCAGTCTTTGCCTCCCACTGATAAAATCTGATTTTAACAACTTCTCAGGCAAATGTCTCCAGGACTGTAAGCAAAGGAGACCCCCATGCTCCTGCTGAGTGCAAGGAGCAACCTCAGCATCTTAAATAAGAAGACACAACTTTCTTCTATCCATCTCCTGTCGAAGCCACAGGCACTCAGACCCTGCTCACCTCCGCTCTGCAGTCTGTAAAAGCTCAGCAAAACGGCTCTCCCCGCAAAAGCAGATTTTATTCCCCAGCAGCCCTCCCCCAGCTCCAGCACCAAAATGGCTCAATCTGCCAGGGCCTTGGCTCCGAAGCCACCCCTGAGCGGCAGCACCTGCCCCACGCAGCACCTCAGCCTTATGCAATCACCGGTCGCTTCCCCCCGGCGTGGGTGGCAGCACCCACCCACCATGGCCAGCAGCACCCACCCGCCGTGGCCAGCAGCACCCACCCGCCGTGGCCAGCCAGCACCATCATGCAAACCCCGGGGACCTCTGCACGCCACCAGCCCATGCACACATGCTCATGCCAGGCCGCCCTGCGATGTCACCCTGCAGCAGTGGCATTTGGGGGGAGGGGACAGCCAGTCCCTGCAGCTGGGATGTCCCCAGCCTGGCATAGGGGGGCACTGCACCCCGGGACCCCCCTGCCGAGCCTGCCTGGGTCCCGCTCCAGCCATGCCAGGCGCTTACATACATGTGCCTCCTCTTGACATTGTGGCTGCGGGCAGCAGGCAGCAGGCAGCAGGCAGGGCTCCCAGCTGCTGCAGCTCTGCCTGCGCCACCGTAAAAACCCTACAAGACGCTCAGTTCCTACCGCTCCTCTCTAGTAGCAGCGCCTCCACACACGCCTCTCCTGTGACTTCTCAGCTGCTTGCTCCTCTAGTTTGTGTGGGTTTTTTTGTTTTGTTTTTTTTTTTTTTTTTAATACATGTATCTGCACTCAATGCTGTTTTAAAGTCCCAAGGTGGAGAATATGGGAGATTAGTGATTTTTGAGGTTTTCCCCAAACCTGGATACACACAGGGTTGCAAAACCCAGAGTATTAATATCTCTGCCCCCTTTTTAGGATGAGAGCACTTTACCCAAAGCAGCATGAAAGAGGTGCCTGTGCTGAATCCTGCACCATGGCTTCAGGGAATCATGATGCCGTTGTCTTTTGACACATGGTGGGTGGGCTAGACCCACAAAACCCCACACTTTCCAAAACAAAGCTCTTTTCCCATGCAGGTTATCACCAGAGGTCCTTTCTCCCATGCACTCCTGTTTGTCTGGTTAACAAGTGTATACAATTGCACCCTCTCTGCCCAGGCTTTCCCACCCGGGGGGACTTGAGAGCTGCTCATTGTTTACTATCAAAAGCCACTACAGTCTAAAGGTCAGCAGCAAAGGACAACAGACCTTTGGAGCAGAATTGCTTTCCCCAGGGAATGAAAACAAAAAGTAAGAGTTGTTGTGACCAGGACAACTCACCCAGAAACAGAATTTCAGGTGACACAACCCCCTGCCCTGCGAAAGACAGGATCTTACTCAAAGCCTCAACTACGGCCTTCAGATCTGCTCCAATGAGGATATTTGGCCCCAAGGCTTGAAAGCATAAATTGCACAGGGCTGACACAGACTTTCTAACATAGTTACAAACATGCAAACAAATCAAAGGGAGCCCATTTCCAATGGAGGCAGTTGGGTTTCATCAACCGCCTGTGTTATTACATTTTTTGGATGCATTTTCATCATTGTTGGATGCTCCCAGGGTCCAAAACACTGCTCACACCATTGGGGTCAGAAGCGTTTCGTTGTGCTAGCAGCTCTCGCAATTGCATAAGGAAAGAGAAAGGACGGGACTCAGGATCAGGCCCTGGGGCAGGATTTGGCCCTGCTGCAGCACTTGGGGGGGGCTCCAGTGCTGTGGGGTGACCCAGTGCTGGGGGATGCTGGCCGGCCCGGTGACCGGCGAGCCCTTCCAGCGGCCGCCTCATGCAGCCCAGGGACCAACAAAGCTCCTGAGCACCCCCGAGAGCCTCACGGTGCTCACAGGACTCGCTCCCCTGCTGCCTGCCCCGACCCACCCACGCGTGAGGGTGCAAAACCTCAAGGCCACGCCGCGCACCCACCCCCCCCCCCTCCAAATCCACCCATCCATCTATCCATCCCTGCTGCTCCGGGGGGGGGGATGCTGGATTTGGGGAGAGCCCCCGGGGCGCGGTGCTCGGCGCTGCACACAGCGGAGGGCGGGGGGGGGCGGTGGTTACGTGACGCCAGTCGACGCCCCTCCCCCTTCCCCGCGCCCTTCCCCATGAATGAACCGCGCCGGGCGTGGTCGGGGGAGGGGGCGTGGCCGGGAGGGGGGTGACGCGCGGCGTGACGCGCCATGCCGGAAGCGGCGGGGGCGCTGGTTGGTCGGCGGCGCGGCGGGGGGGAGGGGGCCGCCCCGCGCTTGTTGTTGTCCGCGGGACTCGCTGGCAGTGGAGGGAGGGAGGGAGGGAGGGAACCGCGCACCGACCGCGACCCCCCCGGCCGCCGCCGCCGTCGCCACTCCCCCCCCTCCCCTCCCCGCCGCCGCCCCCGCCCCGGGCGCGCGCGCGCGCTCCCGCCGGCACGCAGGTGAGGAGGAGCCGCCCGGTGCGCGGGGGGTGTGTGTGTGTGGGGGGGGGGGGGGGGGGGGGTGTGTGGGGAGGGGGGGGGGGAGGGTAAGGCTCGGGGGTGGGGGGGGCGGCGGGGGAGCGGTCAGTGCCACCGATTCGGGGAGGGGGAGGGGGGGGGGGGGGAGGGGGGGGCGCGGTTCGGTGCGGTCCAGTCGGGTCCGGCCGTGTCCGGTTGGGCGCTGGGCGGGCGGGGCGGCTGAGGGAAAAGTGCTGAGTCACCACCGCGCCGGGCACGTGGTGCCGCCGCCCCTCGCACCGGGCCGGGCGGCGCGCACGTGGGGCCCGGCGGGGCGGCCACCCCCCACACCCCCCCCACACCCCCGCGGCGTTTTGGGGTGGGGTGGGGGCGGGAAGCGATACCCCTCGGCCCGGCCGCCCCGGGGAGCCGCGGCGGGGCGGTGGCTCGGTGGGCCCCGCCGTCACACCTCCCCCCGCCGCGGGGCCGCCGTCGCACAGTCCCTGGCGGGACGGGGTCGGCGGCTCCCCCCGGGGCTCGGGGTCCCCCTCGGAAGGGGACGCCCGGTTTGCGCCTGGGCGATGCTTGCCTCTCTCTTGTTATTATTTTTATTTCCCCCCCACACACGCCCCCCCTACCCCCTCCCCCAAGGATGAGCGCGCAGCCTGCCTCTGTTTTTGAATGGTTCTTAAAATACATGCGAGGAAACCTGTTGTGACGCCGCGCTCTCCGCCGTCTAAAAATAGTTGGTTTTGTAGTACGGAGGGAGCCGGGGCGCAGCCGGTGCCGGGCAGCGTGGCGGCGGCCTCGGTGAGCCGCTCTCTGCCCCTCGTTATCGGGAGGGAGCAGCCGCCACTGGGAAACGCCGGCCGGGCTCCCCGCTCCCCGTCGGATGGACTGGTGGGGTCAGGGCTGATGGAGAGGGGCTTATCTCCCCCGAGCATGCCGCCTTTTTGGGTCAGAAAAGGGAGAGGTGTGTGGTGTGTTCGGGCTGGTCCTGGAGCTGGCAGAAGGAATGTGTGTGCAGGGGGGAGGCCCTGAAAATGGGGTGCTCTGTGGCCACCCAAGGACGTGCCGGTGGGAGGAGAGGGGACGGTGACGTTCGGGGAGCGGGTGCTGCCGCGTGACTGTCTGGTGGGCGCGGGACGGTTTGGGGATTTAGTCAGAAGTGGGGTGGGTGGGGGAACCTCTTCCGAGCTCCCGGTGAACGCGGTGGCATAAACTGGGGAAACATCCAGGCCGTGAGCGAGGGGAACAGAGATCTCCAAACTCTCACAGAGTGTCAGGTCTGTTTGAGAAAGAATTTCTTCCTCCTCCTCTTCCTCAGGCTGAGAGCCTGCTCCCCTCCCTTGCGGGCTACTCCGCGGAGGATTTATTTCACAGATTCTGCCAAAAGCAGGCCATGAGGTCTCAAATTAGGAACGAGCCCCCTTTGGGCAAAGTTGTTACAGAAAAGGGAAAGGCCTCCATTTTTGCTTTTGCCTGGCCGCCCCCTCCTTCACCAGCGTAGTCCTAGAGCTGAGCTGGGACCACGGAGGGCGGGGGGAGCTGGTAAGAGGAAAGTGTTTCCCCCGGAAAGCTGCACGCGTTTTTCTTGCACTTTCAGTCTGTGTGAGCCCTGTCTGTCGAGGAGCGCAGCCCCGTGCCCCAGCCCGGCGCGTTGCGCCCTGGTGCTCTCTGGGTTGGAGCAGCGAATGAATTTACCTTGTGATTTTTTTTCGCACTGACGACAAGGGTCGCGCGTTCCTCCGCTTTTCCCCTCTCTCCTTCCGTGTGTACGCTGAGCTGCCTGCCGAGAAGCCTTCCTCGTGCAGTCACTTCCTAGAGGTGATGGACGCCGCGGTTGCCCAATGGCAGCGTGCAGGGCTGCGCGGCCCCGCAGTTAACTCTGCTCCTACTCGCCGGGCCGGCGGCAACGGGGCGATGGCCTCCGGATCGGGGCGTGCGGTGACTCTTGCCGTCAGGACACCCTGCCCGCTTCTGCAGGCTCGGGGGTTGTCAGGGCTTTGTGCCTGAGCTGCATTACCGGCTGCGTTACGCCAGGCTTGCCCCCCCTCTTCACAAGCGTTTCTGAACCAGAGGCAGAAATTTGTTAGCTCTTTTTATTTTGCTTGCCTGTCAAGGGCAAGCGTGCTTTGTCATGTTTTATGTCATTTCTGTGCCATCGCCTGTCTCAGCAATCTGTTGCAGCAAGGAGTTCGGTACCACTGTGTGCCTCCTGAAAGGGAAAAATACAGATCAGTTTGACACGCTCTTATTTCCATCAACATTGGAAGATGATTAATGGTGTGGAATGTGCTGCGGAACTTGGTATTGAAAATCTCTAGCTGTGTGAGATGTTTGGGAAGCGAAGAAAGGACAGCTGGGAGCGCTGGCCCCCGCAGCAGTCAGGGTTTGTGGGATAAGCTCTCTTGCTGATCATTTTTGTAAACATCCAGCTGTGAAATACTTGAGCGGTGCTAGCACTTTCAATTATCAGGAAGTGTCAGGCTCAGCACCCTGTAGAGATGAACAGGCAGTTTCCACTTCTGTCTGAGCTATTGTTTCAGGCTATCTTCAAACTCGGGCAGAGAGCCTTCCAAGCATGAAGCAAGCACAAGCGATGCAGTGCTCTGTGACCATCAACACAAGAACTAGGAGGGGGGGGAAAGGCAGTAATGAGAGCGATTGCCCTGCCACTAAGCTCCCGAGCAGAGGAACAGGTTGTGTAGCAAATCCCACTGCTTTGCAGTATTGCAGGACCCTGAATAGCGATGTTGTTATGTTCCATTATTAGCAGTTGGTGAAGATGTCCGACTCGATGGCTGGCACGTGGGGTCAGGAGCAGTGAAGTTAGGAATCCCAATCCCAGCTCTGCCCCAGGATCCGACTGTGTGTCTGAGCAAGTTCTTTGTTGCTCAGTGGTTCTGCTTGGCTGGCTGGAGGAGATGCATCTCTGGGCTAGCGGTGCTGAGGTGTAATTCTGGTGTAGCTCTGTCACCGCATTTTATAAGCGCGTGATGGAAACAGTGCTGTTTGCTTGTCAGTACCGGGGCTGGCTGCCGCACACCTTTCCCCTTCAGCCACCTCCTCCATGAAGATTGAGGTGACACACAACCGTACCCTCCTGGTGCTCCGTATCCTCTGCTCCCTAACCACAGGCTCTCTGCAGCATCTGACTAGGTTGTTTACCAAACCACTGAAGACTGTCTGATCCGTGTCCAGGCTTCCCCAGAGAGCGCCTCAAGAGAGCTGTGTCCTGGCAGCTCTCAAATGCGCTCTAAAGGTTCCTGAATCTCCTCTTTGCTGCTGGATTCTGGTTCCGATCCATAAGGGAAATGGAAAGCTGGCCAGCTGGGCGAGGGCTGCGTGGAGCTGCTCTAGAACAGTAAACAGTGACTCACCCCCTCCTTGTGTCTTCTCTCTCTTCATGTCAAATATATTGCCTCGCATATGCTTCTACTCTCTGATTCACACCATCAGCCCGTCCCTCCCCGCTCTCATTACAAATGAGTGACAAGCGTCAGTCTGCCTTACAGGATGTGTGAAGATTGTCAGAGCAGGAGAATGGCTTCTTGAATGGTGGGGAGGGGGATGGTGCTCTGCCTACCATGCTGCAACGTGCTGGAAGTCCGTGTCGTGCCTCCGAGCGGCAGTGGCACGGCGACGAAGATTTAAGCATCTGTAGTTCCCTTCACCTGTCAGCTCAGATGTTATCCTTGGTAGGCACATCCGTTTGGCTAGTGCTCCGGAGCTGGGGATAACTTGCGGATAAATGAGAAATTTAACTAAAGCACCTGCCTGGGAATTAAATCGCCGCATTTGGGAATGAGTAGGGTATTCCCTGCGTAACTGTCAGTGCTGAATCGAGATGCGATGGCAGAGATCCCCATGGCTGCTTGAACCTTATGCTGTTTTTCTGCCCTCTGGAAGTCGTGGCTGGCCTGGCTGACGGTGAGGGTTGCATGTTTTCAGTTTGCTGTACGTGTCTGAGGATGGAAGCTAAACACCAGCAGGGCTGTCTGCCAGGCACTCATGTTCTGGCCAGGGTTGTCTTTCAGTGTAGAAAGAGTTTTAAAATTCGAGTTCATCCGCAGTTGTTGGGTGTCGGCAGTGACTTTATAGTAATTCCTTAATGTGTAACGTGCTTTGAAAGCCCTGTAGCGTGGAAAGTCTGAAATGTCATTCTGGCATGTTTTCTTTATTAATTGCAAGCCTTGTGTGGAGAGCTCTGTCCTACCTCTGCTGAAGTCAGGCTTGGTCCTGTCTTCCCCTTTCAAAGCAAAGGAACTGGCCATCTCTAGATGGTCCAGGTTGAGACCATCAGGCTCGGGCTATCAGCTGGAGACCTCCAGGTTTTCGGGAGGATGCTGCAAGAGGCATAGAATTAGTCTGAGATGGGGAAAGGGCATTGGCAAGGCTGTCAATGGGTAACTTTATTGCAGAATTACAAGGGCTCTTTATGTAACCCACAGTCAAAACACTTGCTTTAAATACAAGCATGGAGCTGTACTGGAAAAGCCTTTGCCCCTTACAGTTGGTATATTACTACTCGCCACTTTATTTATGTAGAGTTCGAAGTGTGTTGTACTGCTTACAGAATAGAGATGTAATGCGGTCCTCGTTCCAAAAAGCTGAGCTCCTAATTTTAGACATGATGCAGCAAGCGCAATTAAGAAAAGAAGGGCAGGAATAGGGTAAAGACTAAAAGGGTTCTAATAATCAAATCACAGGCAGGGTCCCAGAATACCCCTCTGCAGCATGTTTAGGGAACGCTGCTAAATATGACATGTTTGCAGGATGGTTTATGATTTTGTTGTGGGGTTTTGCCCTCTAGCTGTGGGAGATGCCGTGGTGATTTTAGTTGCTTGTTGTTGGTAGCTGAATAGTCCCAAATAGTCCCGATGGGAAGGATTTTGTAGGTGTGGAGATGGAGATGGAGCCCGAGGCCCTGGACGACTGTTGGTGAGGGTTGCGAGTGTTGTTGTATCAGTTTCGAGTGGAGCCTGGACCACACCTGCGGGTGTACCTAGTGCAGAGATAAGACTTTCTCTGGCACATGTGTCTGAGAGTGAGATTTGAGCCTGGTTGAGTGTTTCTACTTGCACTCCCAAATCTTGCCCTTGGGGTCGGGGTAGACCCCAATCTCCCACCCTTGTTTGAAGGGGGCCCGGCATCACTATTCCTGACGGTGCCCTGAACCTCCTTGCTCATCTCTGTGCTAGCAGCGGCTCTGGCACATCACCCCTGGTGCAGTAGGATGGATCCCAGCCCATCTCGGAGGGCTGCTGGGGTGCTTTGGTGTGCAGGGGGAGATGGGCACGCAGCACCAGAGCGTGAGGGCGTCTGTGCTGTCCCCCAAGGAATGTGCCGGGTAAGGAGTTGCTGCTTTGGCGACAGGGACCAACAGGTGACCAGAAGGGATTTCGGCATGTGGAGCCACAGCATTGCTCACGGTGGCAGGTGAGCCTGCACGCTGACCCCCACCGAAGGCAGCTTCCCCCCTCGGCTCTTGTTTTCCACGATATTTTACATTTCTTTCCATCTCCACGCAGCCAACCAGCCCTGTTCAGTTTTTCCATCGGCTGGCGTAGAAAGCGCTTTGAAGACACGCTGGGTGAGGATCAAAAGGCTTTTTGTGTAATTGGTGGGTGTGACGGGTCTGTCGTCGGCCTCCCCCTCCTTTTTGACTTTCCTTTTCCGGTTTTAGCAGCGCGGAGTGCCGCCAGCGGGACGGCAGCGTGCCCCTTTCCTTGTAGGGATGGGGGCGGCGAGGGAGGGGGGGGATGCCGAGGGAAGGAAGAGTTTCTGATGCTGTGGGAATGTGAGCTCTCAAACTCTGTAAACAGCTGGTGACTCACTGCATAACTATGGCACCAACTGCCTGCGCGGCCCGCGGCGCTGTGCGTCTGCAGGGAGGGGGCTGCCGGCCCTTTCCTTTACGCACTGGCAGCTCCTCTGCTCTCCTGAACTCGCCGGGACCGTTTGGCCGAGACGAGGAGCTTTTTCCTTCCTCCTCCGTGCTAGCGCCTACGTCTGCGCCTCCGGCCTGGAGGTAGGGGTGGGCAGCGAACGCCCGGCGCGGAGGGGAAGCGATGGATGGCGAAAGGGCAGTGCTGGGCTCCGAAGAGGTGCCTGTGCTCGCAGGAGGTCCTGCCTGCAGTCAGCCCCCGTGCAGAACGCGCAGTGGGGCAGCAGCCGGAGGCCAGGCGCATCCCCATCCCTTGGAGGCGGCTGCTGGGGGCTGGGACTTGCCCCCCTGCCCTGTGCCCTGCTCGCTCTGGTGGCCCCGGTGAGGCAGGGGCTGCTGGAGGTGTGCTGAGGGTGGGGTTCGGAGCCGGAGGAGCTGAGGGAAGGACTTGGTGATGCTCTAGAAAACGCAGCACACACCAGTTGCTGTAAGTGGTCCATTCATCACGGAGCATCTTGGCTCGTCCGCTGTGCGGCTGTCCTTGTCCCTCCTCCAGACATGGAAAGCTGTGCTGTCTCGGTCTTAAAAATAGAGGAGGCGCCTAAATACACTCCCTAATATCTAGGATAGTATCTCACAGCTTTGCACTTACGGGGTTTTTCCCCCCCCCCCCCCCCCCCCCATGCTCTTCATCTTGATTTTTACGTAAGTCGTGTGGTGATGAGGTGTCTTGACTGATAAAATTCAAGTGACAGCAGCGCGGGCTGAGCCAGCACCTTCACCCACACGGCTCCCACTGGTCCCTGCACCCCACCTTTGCACCCCCTTGAATCCCTTCACCCCCTGTTTGCAGATATGAATGAGTTTGTTTACTCTCCGACGACCTCGTGATGTCTTTGCACAGACATGACCTGAAGTCATTATTGCTTTTGGGCTTCTCTGTTTCCATGGCGACTGTCTCCGGGTTGGCTACTTTCCCAAGGTCACCATGGCAACTATCAGAAGGGAATCATGCTTGGGATGCTTTGGCTGGATTTTTCATGAATGATTAGGATGTGTGACACGATGCAGACGTGGAAATGGGGAGGGTTTGGGCTGGGCTGGAGTTGGGGAGGAGGGGGGGGGAAGAGAGAAAGAGAGAGGACTCCCGCCAGACGGGCTGCGCGCTCTGCGGTGCGGCTGGGTGTGCAACCCTCGAAGCCGGGGGGGGGGGGGGACCCTGGCGCCTCGCGCCCTCCCCACCGGGGAGCGATAGGCAGAGGCTGTGATGGTGGCACGGCTGCGGTCACCTCCCTCGTGGTAGGTACCCGGAGGTCCGCCGTGCTGCCGTCACCGCGGGGCGAAGGGTCGGGGTGGAGGTGCGGGCAGGTGGATTTTCTGCAAGGCGCTGGTCGAAGGGGTGTAGTCCGCCGGCTAAGGTGAGAGTGAAGGGCAGCGGCTCGGCAGGGGACGGTCTCTGTCGGTGGATGTGCCTCCGTGTCACTAGAAATAGCAGGCAGGTCAGCTCTCGCAGCCCGGGGCGGAGAGGATGGGGGAACAACAGTCTTGGTGCCTTGGGAGAGGCAAACTCCTGCCCTGCTTTGTTATCGGGGGGCTTTTGTTTCTGTTGTTTGGGTTTTCTGGTAGCGTCTCCTTTGGGTGGGGACGGCACTGGAAGCAGGTTACAAATGAGGCAGCTTCTTTCTGGGTTGCTGATTCAATTTCGAGCCGGGTTAATAATAATCAAAATAAGAATGAAGGGAGTTGTTGTCTTGTGGCTTTTCAGTGCCTTTTATGAGCGGAGGTAACTCTTAATTCAGTCCCTAATAGGCCATTCTGCGCGTCTGGGATTCCTTTGGAGGGAGGTGAGCAAGTGACTGGGCCTGGGAGGCCGCACTCCGCGCTCCCCTTGCGAAGGGGTGGCATGCTGCACGGCGCTGTGTGGTGCTTAGCGTAACTGTTGTTTACAGATGGGAGCTGGTGTCCTTTCCCCGCTCCCTGCCCTGTCTTCCCTGCTTAATCTGAGTGTAGTTCGTAGCAAAATTTGAGGTCTTTAGCAGTAAAAAGCAATGCACTTGTCAACACAAATTTCTCTTTATTGTATCTGGATGGGGTAAGCTGATCTCTGAATCCAGCCCAGTCTTAGCTGTGTGATTGTTTCTTTTAATGGTGGTTGAGTTGGGGGTTTGGACCATGTGTTGGGTATCTTCTTCCTACCTTCCATCTCTGAGACTACTGTAACCCAAAAATCTCGTTTTGTTTTTCCAGTTGCAATTTCTGAGCAGTTTTGTCCGGAAGACTGTGCTCAGGTTATGACGACTAATCCCAAACCGAACAAGGCATTAAAGGTAGGGAAGAAAGCTGAGTGGGCGATGCTGGGTGGCAGGGGAGGCTGTCACAGAACCGTGCTGCGTGCGAGGTCGGTTGTATGTGACTGTTCTTTTTCATTCTGAGAGACTCTTACAAAGTGGTGCCGGTACAATTTTCCACTCTCTACACGAAAGGTTAGGGTAGAAGAATACCGGTGATACACAGAAAGAAGTCTAAAGTCACTCGGATGGCATGAAGGCTAGAGTATCTCAGCTGCTATCCAAGAGACTTTTGACTATTGCAGTTACTGGCAGCATCCTGAAACCAGTGCTCCCAGGCCCATCAATGAAGTACTTCTACTCTCAGGACTGGGAGGCACTGGGGAAGGGATGTGTCCAGCTGGTGTCTCTCAGATCTATGAGACAGTAAATGCCTCAGACGTACCGGCTTGGTGGCAATCTATGCATGGGTTGTGCGTGCATTGTTGGAGTTTCTTTCCGGTGTCTTAGCTCATCGTTCTATATGTCCTGCAGTCTCTGAAGAGACAAAAGGATTATATCTTAAAGGTTCTGAAAATAATTGTGGCAGCAAACCTGCTTGAGAAAAAGACACAAGGCATTGGTGTCTTTCTCATTTAACTTCAGAGTCTGGCCTGTGCACCAGGAAAACCAAATCAAGCTGTGGTCCTTGAAGCCAAGCAGGGTTGGTTTTGTTCACTACTTGGATGAGCAGGCTTCAACGAAAAGCCACAAAATGCTGAATTAAACACTGCGTACAAGTGGCTGTTCTGCTTTGGAGGTGCTGCACTGGTGTCCCAGCATAATGCTGGGAAAAGGTGTCATCATTAGCACTCAGTATGAATTCTGGGTTCTGATGAAGGAACACAAAGGGCTTCGGTCTGTATTACGTTCATCTCCTTAAAACTCTTATTGTTTAGTTCACACCAGGTGTGTAAGGTTTAGTACTTTCACTGATTTAAGAGGGTCGCTCAAACCCAGACAACATCAGTGCTGAGATCTCTGCCATGTTTTACCCAGATGTCTTAGTGGAGCATGTGTTCTCTACAGTGCTTCAGGGGTGTTTTCCAGGTTGGGGTGTCACACTGCTGCGGGGTGGCCTGTCTCTTTTTGCTGTCCAGAATGTCTGTTCCCGTAGGGTTGCTGCTACCCCTGTGCTGTTGGTATTTGCAGGTAAAGGAGGAGTCAGGAGAGAATGCCCCAGTGCTGAGTGACGATGAACTCGTGTCAATGTCCGTACGGGAGCTGAACCAGCACCTGAGGGGTCTCACCAAAGAGGAGGTCATCCGTCTGAAGCAGCGGAGGCGCACGCTGAAGAACCGGGGCTACGCTGCCAGCTGCCGCATCAAGCGCGTGACTCAGAAAGAGGAGCTAGAGAGGCAGCGGGTTGAGCTGCAGCAAGAGGTGGAGAAGCTGGCCAGAGAAAACAGCAGCATGAAGCTAGAGCTGGACGCCTTGCGCTCCAAGTACGAAGCACTCCAGACCTTTGCTCGTACTGTGGCGCGAGGGCCTATTACCCCGACCAAAGTTGCCACCACCAGTGTCATCACCATTGTGAAATCAGCCGAAATCTCATCCAGTTCTGTGCCGTTTTCAGCAGCGTCCTAGTGCCCTCGGTGGGGGGAACTAGCAGCCTTTCAGAGGGGAGGGGAAAAGGCTCTTATGCGTTGTTCCGGAGTCCTTGGTCATGTCAAGAATTGGCATTTTAACAATTCTCTTCCAAAAGTGCAAAAAATAGAAGAAAAAAAAAAAAAAAAAAAAAGAAAAGGAAAGAAAAAAAAAAACAACAAAAAAAAACCAACAAAAAAAAATCCCAGACCTACAGAGGGAACTTAACTGGCTGCTTCTATCTGGACTCGGTGGCTCCATCAACCTCTCGTGTCCAGGATTTGAGCTCTGTATGCAGTACAAATTTCAAGATCTGCTTCCTCCTTCCCCCTGCCTCCCCAAACCCCTCTCAGCCGTGGGCAGCTTTCCAGCTGGGAGAAGATACCTGAGGAGCCTCCGGAGTCTTCATGAATGATGCTCAAGAGCCAGGAAACAGATGGACCGTAGAAATCATCATGTGAGATGAATGTATGGAAAAAAGAGTTTCCTTTAGTGGCATCCTACTCCCTGTAAGAAGTGTCTCCCCTACCTTCCCCGCTTCCATCTGATACTGCAAGAGCAGGGATATAGGCTTTTTGGATTAGATTTCATCCTGCTGTGAGTGGATGGGAGTGGGAGGATGATGGAGACTAATGCTTTGGTCTGACCACACCCATTAGGAATAACGTTTTGTTTTCAATCCATCCTGTTAAAATATGGAAAAATATATATTTTACATATTTTAATATGCCCCATTACCTGTGTGGCCTGTAAAAATGACATTGCAGCCTCCTTTTTTCCAAGCTCAAGTTTCCCAATAGCTCCTTTCCCAAGGTGTGCCTGTGAATTGGGTATATTTATGCAGTTTATTTCTTCCAAATGATCCGCAGTCTTGAAGTAGCAGCTTTTTTTTTTCTGGATTCCCGGAAGCTTAAGGGAAGGAGGCACAGTAAATGCTGTGAAGAGCTGTGTGATGGGGAGGAGAAGGGGAGATAAAGAGGAAAAAATGCTGCAAGTATTACCAGGTGGAGGCGGAACTGGCTATGAGAAGGTGGGACAGTTCTGCTGGGATCAGCACTATGAGAAGGGGCTTGTGCAGAGTGTTTCAGAAAGATGTTTTTAAAGCACTGAAGTGTAACTAGAGGGCAATAGCGTTCAGACGGGAGGAGAGAAGTGATAGAGCCTCCTCTTTGACAAAAGCATTGGTAGGTTAGCAGTGAACATCCCAGCTGGGGAGCTGGGCTCACCAGTCTTTGATGACCAGAGGAGGGCTATGGGGAGGTCAGATGGGAGCTGGAAGAGACTTTTCCTCTCCGTAGCATGTCAGGCGCTGAAGTTGAGATCCAAAGAGTACAGTGAACAACCCTCAGTGTTCAGACAACCTGTGTGAATGTGACCCTGAAACTTGACGCTTTCTCTTGGGAATGGGTGAATTATCCCGAGAGGTGCACGGAGGGCAGGATGGAAAATTGATGTGTGTGTAGGGGATGGAAAAATTGGGATCGAGAAGTCGTTCGTATGGCTCTGAGATATGGTTTGGGAGAGGGATTTCTGGCTCAGCAATGGGCAGGAGGTGGGAAGCCAAAAGGAGAGATTCTGCTGTTGCGCAGCAGTGTGGAAAAGTTGAATGTTTCCAGGTCACTGTAAAAAAAAAAAAAAAATAGCTATGTTGGTGTTTGTGTGTTTTGTTGTTGTTTTGTTTTGTTTTGTTTTGTTTTCTTTTTGAAGTAGGAAAGAAAAGGGACTGTGAGTTTTGCAGGGCAGGTCAGAGACTTGTGGAATGGACGATGCCTGTTGTCACGCAGGTGAGAAGAGAATGAGATTGTTGGAGTTTAAGATGAGGAGAAGAGCTTAGAGGATTTGGGCTCCAGAACAGAAAACAAAGATCACGGAGAATTCATGAGTGTTTTGGACTAAAAGAGAATAATCAAGTGCCACTGTTGTTACAAAGGGGACAGTGAACTGGCGTCTGACACCAGTATAATTTGTTGTTTGAGGCTTTGTCTTGCCTTGAATGGCAGTAAGGTTGTAGAAATTTATTGAAGCCCTACTTGTCTTTGGAAGAAGTTGTTAGCTTGCTTTTTCTTTTTTTTCACCTTGTCATCGGAGTCTCTGGATTTCCCAGGAGGGTCCTTTGTGAAATAGGTTAATGAAAAGAGAAACCTCAGACTTGGTTCTCGTTCAGTCCTCAACATCGACATCCGTGACCTTACTGAGCCAGAAAGGGTGTAAGTGAAACGCTTCCTGAAGGCTCGTTACCCCTGCCAGATCCACGTGTTATGGAGGGGAGCAGGGAGTTTCCTTCAAGTGATTTTCCAATACGTAGAGTTTGGATGACACTTAGCGTTACCTCATTTCTCCTCCACTCCCTCCCTATCTCCGAACAGGCAGATCGATGTCCTGTGTATCAGTACCAGTTATTGACTCCCACAGCAGAAGCTGAGGAAGAGAAAGATGTTACTGTCATTTCCTGGTCCTCTCATGTTCTCCAGCTCACAGACATTGGAAACTTTCCCAGACCTTACAGGTGCCTCCAAAAACAGGCAAAATGGAGACTCCTGGCACTGTTGGGGCTTTAAATGAAAACTTTAATGAAAAAGGCCAGTTGACTTGAAAATGCCCAAATGCTTCCAGTCTTTAAAACAGCTCCAGAGCTCCATAACATTCCTGGCTAGATAGGAACACCCTCTGGCTGCCCTTGACCCCCGGCCGGAGAAATCAGACCGGTTGCACCGAGGGGGACGGAGGTCAAACTTTGTTCCGTGAGGTGGTCTTGCTGTTAGAATGAGTTGAGAAACATATCTTTACGTGGCACTTCCCTTGAGGCCAAGTATTTCTTTTTTTTCCAGTTCTTGGAAGGGTGCCAAAGGCTTGTCCAAGTGATTGCTAGTTTAGTGCTGGTAGGCACTTAAATCTCTGGTCACTCAATAAAGAACAAGAGGCCTGGGTGTTGTTAAAGCTGTTGATACCATAGCCATGGTAGGTAATCCATATTGGATATCCATAAGGACCACGTGGAAATATTTAAAGAGAGAGAAATATATATATAAATATATAATTATATACATTTTATCGTACAGATTTTTCGTAAAAAAAAAAAAAAGTAATTTTTTTTCCAAGTTTGATACTGTAAATCTTTATTAAAAGAAATTGCCAGTCCAGGGCTCCCTGGGTGGTGACCTGGAGGGGAATGAAATGTCCTGGCTAAACTTCCACAGAGGGATCAGAATTGCAAGGTAACGTGGAGGGAGGAATGACCCGAAAGCTGTTGACTGCATTGGAGACCCAGCTCCTCCACCCTCCACCCTGGAGGGCCCTCCAGCTTGGGGTTGTCACATTGCATTCCTCTGGGGTTCAGTTTCTTTCTGTTGTTTTTTGGTTTGGTTTTTTTTTTGTTTGTTTGTTTGTTTGGTTGGTTGGTTTGGTTTTTTTTTTTTTGTTTTGTTTTGTTTTGTTTTGTTTTTTTCTCTCCGTCCTGCACTTGCAAGCCTGACACCCAGAGCGAGCGCCGCGTGGGGAGCTGGCTGCTGCCCGCGGTCGCCCGGGCGGCTCCGGCAGTGCTCCCCACAGCCGTAGCTCTCGCTTGTCTCTTTGCTGCAGTAGTTTGGATGCTGGGGCCCCCTTCTCTGCCCCTCTTAATTTGTCCTCCCCCTGCCCTGCTGAGGAGCAGAGGCTCTGGATTTGAGTGCTGGGATCCTTTCCCCTGGCCCTGGCTTTTCTTTGGTTGCTCTCCATCCGCAGTGTGATGTGGGAACGGCGGGCTGGGTGGGAGGCAGAGGAAGACGAAAGCGTTGGGCAGGGCCCGGGAGGGACACCTCTGTTCTTGTAGATGCGTTTGCTGTGCTCTCAGTTGGGAGTGGGGAACCTTTCCCTCCAGGGCAGCTTCAGATCCCTTTGAAGCAAGTCAGCGCCTCTGCTCTTGCCCAACTCTACCGTCTGCCAGAGGAGACCCGGGTGCCATCGCAGCGCCGGGGAGGGGACGAGGTGCTGGCGGGTGACCCGGTGCGGAGGCGAGCTGTGGCAGGGCCGGCGCGGTGCCAGGGGAGCGCGGAGCGGTCAGGCCATTGGACAGCTCAGACCTGGGGAGGAGGAGAAGGTGGCATTTTTTTTTTTTTTTTTTCTCTCTCGAATCATTTAACTTCATTGTCATGATTGTTTTTATTTAAAAAAAAAAAAAAAGAAAGAAACAAAACAAAAATGAAAAACTTTTGTAATGTGGATTTGTTTTCCTTCGTCTGTATTTCAGTCTGCTGGGGTGTTTCCGTAGATGGTGGATACTTGCTTTCATTTTTTTAATGATAGAACTCTTCTGTTTTAAGTTGTTTTTTATCACCAGCTCATTCTATCCTCTGTGGTTACTCAGTAATTTCATTTCAATATTTATTTTTGTGCTGCTTTTTTATTATAAAATAAATTATTGATATACCAAGCAATGTGGATTCCTGTTTGTAAGGCGAATAGCCCTGTGTATGTGTCCATTACTTTCTCTTGACAGCCACAACGTAATTTATTGCTGTAAATTTAGCTGCAGTGACTGGTTTTTTTGTACCTTTCCAATAAAGCATTTTCTGGTTTCAGACTTGCCCTGGTCTGTGGTCAGCATTTTAGAGCTTGAATTGATCTTCAGTGGAGTGTTTTCCTCTCTTGCTGCCGGGGAGCGATGTGTTTTGGGGAGCCAGGCTGGGCTCAGGCGAGCGTGGCGGCTGCTTGGGCTTTTGCAAGCATCCGAGCCAGCCCGCCGTAGCCAGCTCTGCCATCTCCCAGCCTTGCTGTGGTGCTTCCCTGGTGTATCTGGAACATGCTGGAGGGATAGCTCTTGTCCAAGGCGCTTGTAGGTCCCATGCTTGGAGCATGTAGATCTGTTCTACCCCAGGCTGCGCCTTTGTGTATATTTATGGTAGCACAAGCAGGGACCGACAGCTCAGCGGGCACCCGCCTGCAGTCGTGATGCTGAGACCTGGCTGTGCAAGGCTGCTGGTGGCTTGGAGACCCCGTGCTGTGAGACAGGTCACAGTGCTGGGGAGACACGTCCCCCCCTCCTTCGGGTTCTGAAATATCCCTTCACTGTTTTCCTAGGCGACTGCTTGTGAATAAACTGCTTTAACCCCTTACATCAATATTTCATCTCTGTTTTTCCGTGTTTGGGCTTTAAAGAGGTGGTACCTTGTGCCAGTGAGCTCCTAGGGGCTGTGTTAGCTTTAATCCTGTATTCCAACTGGTCGATTTTCTTTAGGGGATAGCTGAAGGAGGAGAACACTTGGCCTGTGCTAGTTTGAGGTAGTAGGTTGGAGGCAGATGTGTGCGTTGGCTGAAGTTGGAATTAGAGGTAGGGCAAAGTGGAGAGAAGCAGGGCTGAAAAGTCTGTGTGTCAGCAGGTAATGGATGGTCATTAGATGCCAGAGGTGGGGCCAGGCAGGCTTGGCTGAGCAAGGAGCCTGAGGGGTGATTGCAGTCACTGTGCTGAGCAAGAACAGCATCATCAGCTGCTTCAGCTCCTGCCTGGAGAGACGGCAGTGAGGAGCTGGTGATGATGGAGAGGATAAGAGGGGTAGGTGGGCTGGTTGTGTCTATTGGAGGGACAGAGGGGTATTAATTCAGGAGGAAAAGGGCATCAGGAGTGGTCCGGGTGGAGGTTCAGCAGTGAAAGGAAACAGACTCCGCCATGCTTAGGGGAGGAGAAAGTCCTAGAGCTGGAGGGAGAAGAATTTGTCTGAACAGGGCTGCAAAAGCACGAATCCTGCTCTCCGATGCAGGTCTGGCAGCCTGCTGCCTGTCAGCAGCCGGGCCCAGGGACTGGCGCGTAGGTGCTAGCACCCAAAAGAATTCTCTCTGTCTCAGACTGGGTGCTCCAAGGCAAGCAGCCCTGCCTGTCCTCTGCTCGAAGGAAGCGTGGTCAGCCCCAGCTCTCGGGGCGATGGCAGGGTGTGCCCTGCAAGGATGCATCCCCGACACGAGTGGGTTATAAACCTGCCTGACCCAAGCCCAAAAAACACCGGGAGAACTGATAGCCGCAGCCCAGCCTTGTCCTTGGGGAGAGCCTGAGGACAAGCGACAACTGGAAAACAAATCTGCCGACCATCGGAGCCTGCTGCTGGCAGCGAGAAAAGCCTGTTCCTCCGAGCTGCCTGCTGGCGTGGCTCCAGGCGCAGCCGGGCTGCTGTGTAGGTCACCCGTGTGCTCGCCGCCAGCTTCCTCCGCGTCCTTGTTGAAGAAGTGGAGGAGACGCGTCAGCAGAGGAGCACAGGACCGTGTCTGCTGGGGAACACGTTCAGCCCTACGCCACCCTTGGTATTTCTCTTCCCCGTGGACGCGCTTTGACAGTGTAACGGTCTGAGATCAGTGACGGCCACCAGCCTGAGCCGTGAGCTCTTGCCTTTCTCCCCTCTCCAAGAAAAAGGACGACCAGGAGGCCAAGCTCGCGCCTGCTGTTACATGGCGCAGCAGCCAGCTGGTGTCCAGCCCAGCACGGCTCCTTCAGGCTGGTATCACACTGCTGACTTGGATGAGTCACAGCTGATTTTTTCCCCCCTCCCTGTTTTCCTTGCAAGAAAGCCCTGTTTTACATATAATACAGTAATCAGGGCTTGACATAAATAGGCAAATGTTATTGTCTGCAGTGGGAATTGCACCTGCTGGCAAGAGCAATGAATGCAGCCCATTATGCACCGGAGCCGATCATTTGTGCAATGAAGTACAACTATGTTTCTTGCTGTGTTCTTGTGCGAGTCTTTATTGCAGCAGCCGTGAGCACGCTGACAGATGTGCCATCATCACCTCTGCAGTCTGTCCTCGCCCCGGGAGCCGGAGCAGCCTCTGTTCCTGCAGCTGCGGCTGGCCCTCTCCCAGAGGGATGGAGAAGACCAAGATGTTCAGCGATGTCCCCGCTTTGGTGCTGGCTGCGTTACAGAATCCGATCAGTCCCGTCCCTTAGCACTGAGGCTGCATTTTGTAGGCAGGAGGGTCCTGCTCTCAGGATGCACAGGACCCTGGATGGATGTCTGGATGTGCAGAGCGTGTGGCTCTTGTTTGTGGACCTCATCACAGGAAAAGTGGCAGCGGTCTCGCCAGGTGAGCAGGTATGAGCAGCGGTGCTTCGGAGCAGACTGGCTTAGCTATAGGCTGCTCATGCGGAGTCTGGGCTTCCAGCACGATAAGATTTCTCCAGTAATAATAATAATAATAAACAGCAGTTGTCCTGTTGGTGCTGGAGTCTGTGCTTAGCTTGGCTAAAGCGCATCCAGCAGCTCTGAACTGCTGCATCCACAGCTTAGGCGAGGGTTGGAAGAGGTGCAGTGCAAGGAGAGGAAGTGGGGGACACACACACTCTTTGAGGAGTGAAAAAGATGAGCACAAATCCTGTGGGAATGCCAAAATGTGCAGGATGCTGCGTGTGCAGGTATTTCTGCTGGGCCAGCATCGAGGGGCTGGGAGGACCTTGAGCTTAAGAGCATCAGCATTAGAGCAGGAACAGGCAGATCGTGGGCTTTGCTTGCTGAGCTAAGTGAAAACACTTGCTCACTCTGTGGTAGAAATTGCTGTTTATTAGAAAAAAATTCATAAATAAAATAATCTCATGTTGTGATTTACATTTTACAGTTTAAGAGCGGGGGGTGGGGTGAGGGGAAGGTAGAGGTTGTATGTAAAACAGCTCTAAGCCTTACCCATTGGCTTGTTTGCCATGCGACTGCAAATCTGAGGCTGTAGACTTGCCTTTGCCCTTTCACTACCCAGCTCCCACTCCCAAACAACAGCCCAGCCAGTGCCTAAGTAAGTTCCCAGGGATCATCTGATTAACAAGGGAATAGAAATTGGACTAAAAATTGGAAAAAAAAAGAAACAACAGAGAGAAAGTTTAACAGAAGGATGCATGCTCTCCATCACTGGTGTGGGGAGAATCCCTTCATGCAGGACCTTCCCCCGCCAGCGGTCCTGCTCTGGGTGGCTGCAGCCCCCAGCACCTCTCCATCCCCGCCACCGTCACCCCGCCGGGCTCAGCTCCACGGCCTTCCCACAGGTTGGGCAAAGCCCAGGGACAGTAAATAGTGAGGGGTTAGGAGGAACAGACAGTTCCCAGTAAGTGCATTCCTACCACCGCCAGTCACAGTGTGGTTCTCTAATAAAGACTCTGATAAGGAAGCTGGAATCCCTTTTAACTTCTGATCCGGTCAGAGATAAGCTGGATTAGACATAAACAAGTGCTTCTGTCACAGGCCGATCTCAGAAATGCAGCTGTTAGACCCCAGTGAGGTCCCGCTGCTGCTCCTGGGGGAGTTACTCAGACAGCTGCATCCCCATCTGGAGGAAGAAGAGGATGACTTACTCTTCCTCACTGGTAAAGGTCTTCTGCACAACTCCGTAGGCTTTTCTGGGAGAAGGGAGAAGATTTAAAAATAAGGAATGACGTCTTTGAACCGTTACCGGGTTTTGAGGTGAAGTGAAGTCACCTTCCTGGGCTGGTTTTCTCCACGGGGCCCTTCGAAATCATTTTTTACTCAAATTGGAGAAACTAGAGCAGAACTGTGCTGAGAAAAGCATTTCTCTCAGGCCTCAGCACTGCTTGGAGGTAAGAGGAGGGCGAGGGCAGCTAGTCTGTCTTCCAGCCCTGTCCCCTCCCTGCCTGGCATCCCCCAGTGTGGGCACGGGGCTGGCATCGAGGCACCAGCAGTGAGGGGGCAAAGCCCAGAACGCAACGCAGGGCTGCTTAGTCACAGGAGCAAAGACAGCCCAGTCCCCAGCGCCGGTAGAGATGGGACAGCAGAAGCTGGCACTATTTGATTTAACCTTTCCCTGGGTTATTGCATCTTCCCTTCGAGAGACTGGCTTTTTGGGTAGAGTTTCTGGCTTCTCGGTACTCCGATTAGACCAGTTTGTCTCGGGCTCGAGACAGCTCCCATTTGCATGGGTTTAAACCTCTCCAGTGTCACTGTCCCCTCTGACGTCTCCTACAGCTCCTCATCTGACAGGATCAGCACTCTCTTCTCAATGTTTTTGCTCCTTCTGCCACTCGGTCCCTCCACCTTGGAGGCCACGTGTCCGTTCTCTCCCGGCACTTTGCGCTCTGCCTCCTGCATCGACTGCTGGGTGTACTGCTGGTACGCAGGCGAGAAGTTGTGGATCGCATCCTGCACAATGTCCTGGGGGCTTATGGTCTCCTTCAGCCCACTCGAGATGCTCTGCATCGGGGCAAGGTTTGCTGAAAAACAGGGAGAGCGGGAGGGTGATGGGTCATCAGACAGTTAATGAGCCCAAGCACTCCAAGACTGAAATGACACTTTTCCTTAGAAATTCAAGATCAGGGGCTCATTGTGGGCCACGTTAGCTTGCAGTGGCAAGCTTCAAGGAGAAGAAAGGCAACCCCAGCTCCATGTTTCAGAGAAGATGTAACCTCTGCAGCAGCTTGTGCCGTAATACCATAATCCCCTAATTCTGCCCATCCACACCAAGGTCCCTTTTCCTATCCACTCATGGTGGCTCGTGTGTATCATGAGGGAAGAGGGACAAGGAACTCATGGAACACAGGAGAAGGAAACTCCTCTGGTGGCTTTTAGTGTCCCATTAGTAATGCTGTAAGGGGAGGTC